AACTCCCTTCAGGCCTGAACTCCCTTCAGAAACGCGGCTGATCTCCCTTGAGATCTATACAACAGATCTGTATATATTGGCACACACAGCGATGGCACAGTGCAACGATGGCACAGTCCTGCTCCGCAGAACGCCTTAGCAAACCTTCGACGCTATGAAGTGGTTTTTCTTCCAAATAATGCCCACGGTTCTTGTATGTCTTGGAGGCTTATATAGCCACGAAAATAAGCCCTAAGACCTAACTTGAACCCTAAGAAATCTATTTAACTAGGTAATAGAATCCTAGTTGATTTCTACTTCTATTCTAGATAAGTACAAAAGATACCTAACTAGAATAAAATACATGGAAATAAATCTAAGTCCTAATAGAAGTATTATAAAATAGGACTCTAATAAATTCCAAAATAAACATGGAAAACAAATCTTTGCCAATCTTTTAATTCCAAAAACTCGGCGGATTTCCTCGATCTTCAATAGTCGGAAATCTGGCGCCAACAATCTCCCCCTTTGGCATAGATTGGTCAGAATCCATGTTTAACAAAAACCCCCCCTGCAAAATAGAAATACTCCCATTGCAAAAGAGATATACTCCCCCTGTACCACAGACTGTTAGGACACTAAATGTTTCGACATAAAAATGTCGTAACCAACTAAATGTTCCTGCAATGTCAGAATATAAACTTAAACGCATGACATATCAAATAAAAATATTCAAAGCGCAGGAAATCACAACGCAGGTTACTATTTGTGTCACAACGCAAGTTGTTACGGCATAGGTTACTACTACTCCCCCTTTCTGATCAGTTTGTGCCAAAGATAGACTTAGAGTCCTAGTTAGAACAAAGGTCTGTTAAGACACGCAGTCAGCAAATAAGGTAAGCCGCAAAAAATACAAAATATCTAGATCCCCTTAATTTGAAAATCCTCATAAATCTGGAATTTAAAATATTTTCGAAAAACTAAAGAACATCAGCCCAAGCATGAACCAAGTTGAAAAATGAAGGAAATCAAGTAGACCAAGTCAGCCACATAGGAAGATTCTTTTCAAGGATTAATTAAAAGAACATTGAAAGAAACTAGATAAAATGCTATCAACAAGCTCTTGGATGCACGATATACCTATAGCCTCATGACCATACTCAAGAAATCATAAATTAGGTATTTTAATGGGTTTATGAATGCATATGCGATTAGCACATCAATTCGATCGTGAACTTCAAGAAGAATTTCACTAATAAATACCTGAACAACATCCCAAGAAATCACACCCTTGTTTTATTCTGCCCCTTTTTTTTTTTTTTTTTTTTTTAATATCATATCAATCCGTAGATTTGGCAGATACATCTCCTCCACCTTTTTTTTTTTGATGATTCTTGATATGTAGTTCAACCAAATATTAGGAGGGCAACCTTCTTAAGAATTCACATAGCTTTTAATTAGAAGTCGGGAATGCATATGCAAATGGCATAATTCTTCCTATAGAAGTATGATCTTTGAGATGAATGAGGTCATAGGCATTGATCACTCCCGATAGAGGGTGGCAGCTCTCTTCTATCTAGAGTCCTCGCATGAACAAAAAATTAATCCACAAAAATTATCGACCCAAATTCAGATAACAAGAATAAGCAATCAAACCTTTCAAAGTAAAACAAGGATCAACAAAGGCTGAAACATGTTACCACAAGATATGTGTGGTAACTCAGTATGTCCTATCAAACTTTCAAGTGTAACCCGGACATAACAGAAGGATGGTTACACTATCATTTCATTGTTCATTTATGAACACAGCAAGTTCCAAGCGATTTACGCAAGGAATCAAATCGAGGGGAATCTAAAGGTTTTGTAAAAGAATCAGTAAACTGATTATCTGTTGACACACAGTCTATTGACACAACCTTTTGTTCAACTAGATCTCTACCAAGATTAACAGTTCTTTTACCTCTTACCTGTTTCTTAGTTCCATCACCAAGAGTTGCATGTCCACTTGCACATTTCTGATAGTCCTTCAAGTGCTTCGGATTACCTGTTATATACTTAGAACAGTACCACAAGTTACTAGCACAAGTATTAAGAGTAGTTGCAGCAGAAAAGCAATTAATGTCATATTTTTTCACCCATTTTTGTTTTATATCAGAGTGTTCCATCTTAGGAGCATCTTGCAACGCAGCGGAATTGGGTAAATGTTGTGACAAACTCTTATTTATCAACTTCCATCTTAAAAAACATTTTGGTCTGATGTGACCCAATTTATGGCAGAAGTGACAAGTTGGAACAAACCCTTTTCCATTAGTTTTACGAGAAAACTTTTGGTTTGTTAAGACATGTGAGTTGTTAGGACAATCAGTTTTCTTCACAAAAGTGTTTTTAGGATCAACCTTTTTGTCAAACTTACACACATGGTTTTTCTTACTCGCAGGAGGTTGAGAATTTTTTAAATTTAACTGTTGTTTTAGTTTCTCAACATCTTTTGTAGCAGTATTCAATTTGAACAAAAGTACCTCTTTATCTTTCTCGAGCTCGGCAACTTGTGTCTTCAAGGCCTTATTCATTTCATCTACAGCAAGACATGGTTTGAGCAATTCATCTTGTTGTTGCTGAATCATTTCTGCAGTAATCTCCTCTTCATCGTCTGAGCTGGTTTCACCTGTATTAAAAGAAGAGTTTAGACTAACAAGGTGATCAGACATGGAATGTTCATACCTGACGGATGTCTGCACATGCACTGTAGCCTTAGCTATTGGTTGAACAATCGTGCTAGTCCCAAAGAAAAGGTTTCCATCCTTTTTGTCTTCCTCCTTATTGGAGTCATTCATGTCATCACTCTTGGCAGTAGTAACAGATTTTCCCCGCTTCTTTAGTCTATTGGTACACTCGTAATGAGTATGACCAAATCCTTGACATTCTTTACACTGAATTCTTCTTTTCTTGAGGCGTGGGTCAGCCCTTTGAGGGATTCTCATTTACTTTGACCATCTTATCAAAATTTTCAGCAATACGTGCCATTAATTTTATAAGTTCTACTTCAACAGCAGACACTGTTGGGACAACAGGAGTGGAAACAACAGTAGTCGGAACAACAGAAGTTGGAACATTGGTTGACTGTAGAGCTAAATTTCTTTCTTTGTCCATTCTACTCATACTCAGCTTGTTCTCAAATGTCTGCAAGTTTCCTATGAGCTCGTCAAGATGGAGTTCATCAACATTATTAGCCTCTTCAATTGCAGTTATCTTGTATGCAAATCGATCTGGAAGAGATCTTAGAACTTTGCGTACAAGTTTCTCTTCAGGATATGTTTATCCAAGGCCATGAGCTTCATTAGCAATGTCGCACAATTTCGAATTGAAGTCCGCTACGGTCTCATCTTCGTTCATTCTAAGATCTTCGAAGCGAGTGGCAAGCATCTGGAGTTTTGATAGTCTTACTGAGGCTGTTCCTTCATACGCAGTCTGAAGAATATCCCATGCCCTTTTGGCACATTCACAACCAGATATCAATTTAAATTGGTTGGTGTCAACCGCATTAAATATAGCATTTAAAGCCTTTGAATTGGTATTTGCCACTGTCTGTTCTTTCTTGCTCCAGTTTTCTTCGTGTTTTTCATACTCAACACCTTCTCTAGTTTTGGCCACTTGTCTCGTCCACCCTGTTAGAACTGTACGCCATGAATCTTCATCCATTGATTTGATGAACATCTTCATCTTGGTTTTCCAATACGTATAGTTCGTTCCATCTAGCAATAGGGGACGTGTAGTTGAACTGCCTTCCTTGTGAATACTCATCCTACAACAAGTAAAGCAAATAAATCAAATTCCCAAAATCAGACACTAAGTATATCTAGTGACCGGCTCTTGATGCCAATTGTTGATTTTAAATGCCTATGAAAGTCTGTTAACCGAAGTTGTAACAGTTGTTGTGGGAACAGTATGCAGTTACAACTACAATTCTTGTGTTAACACAGTTATAAACTACTGAAAGCGAGTAAACAAACACAAGAATTTAATGTGGTTCAGACACAAATGTGCCCTACATCCACGTGGACCTGCAAACACGATTTCACTAGTTCAGATTTACAGTGTACATTAATAGGACTTATTAAAAACACTAAAGACTCCCTCTTTATGTAATATGCCGTTCTTGTACACAACTTGAACTCCGTGTCTCTTCCAACAACAACTCCACACCGCGTGCCTCAAACTCCCTTCAGGCCTGAACTCCCTTTAGAAACGCGGCTGATCTCCCTTGAGATCTATACAGCAGATCTGTATATATTGGCACACATAGCGATGGCACAGTGCAACGATGTCACAGTCCTGCTCCGCAGAACGCCTTAGCAAACCTTCGACGCTATGAAGTGGTTTTTCTTCCAAATAATGCCCACGGTTCTTGTATGTCTTGGAGGCTTATATAGCCACGAAAACAAGCCCTAAGACCTAACTTGAACCCTAAGAAATCTATTTAACTAGGTAATAGAATCCTAGTTGATTTCTACTTCTATTCTTGATAAGTACAAAAGATACGTAACTAGAATAAAATACATGGAAATAAATCTAAGTCCTAATAGAAGTATTATAAAATAGGACTCTAATAAATTCCAAAATAAACATGGAAAACAAATCTTTGCCAATCTTTTAATTCCAAAACTCGGCGGATTTCCTCGATCTTCAATAGTCGGAAATCTGGCGCCAACATATATATATATATATATATATATATATATATATATATATATATATATATATATATATACTAGACATGGAGCACCGCGCAATGCGCGGTGCCCGGTCGAATTTCTCGTACTTGGAACAAGAACATGGTATCATGAATCTGAAAAATGAGTTTCACATTGTCAAGTACAGCTCAACTTTAAGCAACATGTTAAACCAAATGATAGGAACATAAAATGAGTAAAGTCCCCTCAGTGTCAACTTATTCCGTTGCATCCTCTCATGTTAATTGGGAGAGAAGAGAACTTTAGTTTATTGTGATGGACCAAAAGTATCTAGAAAATGAAGATCAGCATATACTTTAGTTTATGTGCCATTCAAATTTTAATTTCCTTCTTCATTGGATAAACTTATGTTCCTTACATTCCCAGTAAAGGGTTAGATAATAGCTTTGACTAAATTATTTGCTAATTTTATCACCTGTGCAGAGTATTCACGTGAGCTCTGTTTTTTCAGGTCTAAGATAAATGTCGATTATGATTAGTATAATACAGTTCATCATCAACGAATAACCTAACAAACAGTTCGGTGAAAAAATAGAAAAAGGTGAAATCGAAAACCAGATGCTTTCACCTCTACCCTTGTGAGCAACAATATATCTCTTCTTCAACTTTATCTTTAAGCTCCCTGAGAAATCTCCATCTTGAATCTTGAAAATTACCTCTGGCGACGAATCATTGGGTTCAAAAAAAGAGGAGGTGGCGGGCGCACATCAAACAACATAGGTGAGGGAGATGCGAGAAGATGTTACATAACAAAATAAATAAATAACAAAACATTGACGAAATTGGTTAAATGAAAAATGAGGAAATACATCTCCATACCTATAGAATAACCTCTACATGTTCTTCAGCATGCGGCTCATAGCCAAAGATTAATTGTAAATTAGTCCCTGTTCTTCAGTATACGATGTCTCTCTGTTTCATTGGACAATATAAATTAAATATTAGAACCATCCAAAGATTAATTATAAATTAGTCCATAATTTAAATCAAAATACCCAAGAAGTCAACAAAAAAAAAAAAAAAAAACAATTGAAGCAGCAAGCTTAGTATTCTGCAGAAACATAATTATCGAGCGTTAAATTAACCGAAATTAATTGAATTAACAAATATCAAATGATGTCCTAAATTTCATAAATCTTTACTCTCCCAAAATTACGTATTCTTAATCCTTTTAAAAAATCCTGATAAATTCGGTTTCATATTGTCAATTTTTGACCTTTTTTCCAATCCCTGTATCTTAATAATACTGATAATCTATATATTCATGAAATACAATAATCTATGTCAGTGTAATTAAAATCAATGAACTGATAATTCATTTGTATTATGAATGAAACAAGAAAAAATAAATTGAACATTTGATTGACCAGTCGGAGCGGGGCACCTGTTCGACTCCCCGGCCACGGGGGATCCCGAACCGGTTCCGCGTAGGTGGAAGAAGAGGCGGCGTTGATTTCCGGCGACGTCGGAATGACCGAGCCCCTCTTGCAGCGCGTTGGCGGCGGTTGTGCATGAGCTTATGAGAGAGACGGCGGCGGAGTCGTCGGAGAGAGATGCGAGGGGAGATGTTGTCCGAGTGGGGAGAAGAAAGAGTTATTGATGATGGTGAGGGCAGGTCAAGAATTGTAGACGGATAATTAGAGAGGATAAAAGAAAATCGAAAACAAACATAAGCAGGTCGATCGTGCATCTGCTGAAAGAAAAAGAAAAAGAAAAGAAAGGGGAGATATGATTGGTGGGAATTGACGGAACGACGTCGTTCCAGATTAAAAGTGGCAAAACAAAAAGCGGAAAAAAAAATAGGGGGGACAAGAAAGGGGGTTACTGTTAAGTGTATATTTTTACACTTTATTTACCTTTTTATTTGAGTTTTTGGTGTGTTTTAACGATAATTGGTGCTTAAAAAGTTGATTTATTGTATTTTAGGTACAAATTGAAGAATTAGAAAAGTATGGGGTCAAAACTGCAATTTTGGAGAAAATATGGGCCAAAAGTGAAAAAATCAAAATTTTCTGAAGATATAAATCTCGGACGGCCGTCCGAGTTTTAGTTCAAATTGTGGGACGGCCGTCCGAGACCCCGAGGCAGCGCAGTAAAGGGATTTTAATTGCACAAGGAAACTGCCTTCTTTCCCAAGTTCTTCACCCTATAAGACCAAGCCAAGCACACAATTGGGGATTTTTTTTACGCAATTTCAAGAGCAACAAAGCAATAACGAAGACGAAGAATTCGAAGACTCCAAGCATAGACTTATCGTTTATGTTTAATTTTATTTGCGTTTTTCCTTTAATCATTAGTAGCTAATTTTCTTATTTCTAGGATTTTATTTGGAACCCTATGTGGGATTTATGAACCATTTTCTATGATTTTATGCAAGTTTTAATTCCGGATTATTTCTTCTACTTGTTTTATTAAGTGCATGAACTTGATCAACTTATGTGCTTTTATGTTATTGTTAATCGTATGAATCGGAAGATCGGGTTAATAATTAGAACTGTGGTAGAAGAGCCTTTGTGGTATTAACATAGGAATATAGTTAATCTCTTAGGTAGCCATTATTGAGATTTGTCCTTAATGCTGTGTTCTAGAATTAATTGCATAGGAATATAGTAATTGAATCTAGAGTATTAGAATCGTAATACATGCGGAAGCGGGTTATGATTATTTTAGCATCTCAGGTTAATAATCCGGGTTAATTACTTGCATAATTAAAGGAATTGAGGGAGTAATAATCACATAGGGGGAAGAATAAAATCCTAGGTTTGTTTACATTGATTAATCTCCGTGTTTAATTTGCTTTCTTGTTTTTGCCTTTTTAATTTGCTTAATTAGTTTAGTTTAACTTAGTTTATTAATCATCTTTCGACTGTGTAGGGTGGGCTTGATAATAACTGCTAGGATTTAGCATCTAGGATTAAATAATTAAATATTCTCTGTGGGATCGATATCCGGACTTAATTGTCCACTTTATTACTTGTACGATACGTGCACTTGCGTGTAGGTATTCCACCCAACAAGTTTTTGGCGCCGTTGCCGGGGATTATTTTAATTATTTATTTTATTCTAGCTCTAGATTTGAACAATTTTCACGATTCCACCATTTAATTTTTGTTTTATTTATTTTTAGGTACAATGTATGCGTAGGAGACTCGATCTTGCTTGAGAACCGTTTGATCCCGAAATCGAACGTACTTTTCGAGCCGCTAGGAGACGTCAACGCGCAACCAATACAATGGAGGACGAAGAACGCATACGCGCAGAGGGTAATTTACTCGAGGCCAAAGGAAACCAAGTCCAAGACCCACCCTCTCAACTTCCATTACAGCCAGCAGTTCGGCCACGGCCACTTCAGGACTACATAATCCCTACTCTCGACGGATTCCGCCCAAGCATCCAATATCCACCTATTGAGGCGCACAATTTTGAGATCAAGCAAGGCCTCTTGACGATGCTCCAAAACAACGGGCTATTTAGTGGATTGGCGGGTGAAGATCCCCATCTTCCCATTGTCAATTTTCTAGATACCTGTAATTCTCACCGTCAAAACGGCGTTTCCCAAGAGGCGCATCAATTAATTCTCTTCAAGCACTCCTTACAAGGAAGAGCTCGCCAGTGGTTGATGTCCCAAGCTCCCCACTCTATCTCGTCATGGCCTCAACTCCTCAACTTTTTCATGAAAGTTTATAGCTCTGCCGAGAAGGATGAGAGAATCCAACGAGAAATTCATAATTTTGTCCAAGAGCAAGGCGAGCAATTATACGAGGCATGGGAGAGATTGAAAACTCTTTTGAGGCAGTGTCCAAGACATGGAGTCGAACAATGGCGGCAAATCCACATATTCTACCAAGGGATCAACGAGAATGCACGAACCGTTTTAGATTCCTTAACCGGGGGAAATTTCATGAGTCAACGAGAATGCATTTATCATGTTGGATCAAATTGCACAAAATCGGTTTGCCAAGTCAAGCGAGAGGACGGTTAGTGGCGCCAAGAAAATTCCCGGAGTGTTGGAGCTAGATGCAATTACGGCCCTTCAAGCTCAAGTGACCCAAATTGCTCAACAAAATCAACTCCTTCTGCAGCACATCAAAGCAAGTCCACCACAACAAGTCCAAGCAATCGATTCTCCATGTTGTGAAATTTGCGGTGGAAATCATTACACGCTCCAATGTCAACAAGATGTGGAGTCGCTCAACTACGTCAACAATGCGCCTCGCCAATTCCAAAATCAAGGGTGGAGATCACAAGGGCAATATGGAGGAAATCAACAAGGCCAAGAATATCAAAGACCTCAAGGTCAATTCCAAAATCAAGCCCCTCCTCAACAAAGCTATCAAGGCAACATTCCACCGGCCCAAAAATCAAACACGGATGAGATATTGGCCCAATTCATGACCGCTATCCAAGCCTCGCTGCAGAATTTGGAGAATCAATTCGCTCAATTCGTTGTGAATCAAGAGAAACGTCCAGCAGGAGCATTGCCATCGAATACGGAAGATCCTCGAAAGCAAAAGTTCGAGACGTGCCAAACTATCGATTTCAAGATCGAGAAAAATGAAGAAATTCAAGTCAAGCTGCAAGTCACCGTAGCTGAATGGGTGGAACCAATCCCATATCCACAACGATTGCTAACGAAAAAGATCGAGGTCGAGACGTGCCAAGCAGTCACCTTGAAGAACGGTAAGCAATTGGAGGAAGCCCCACGAAAAGAGAAGAGAAACACGGTAATCGATAAGCCGAAAGTGAATGAGGAAAAAGAATCAACTCATGAAGAGCCACCATCAACGGTGCCTTCACAAGTCCCTCCAATTCCTTATCCTCAAAAGTTTATAAAGAAGAAGCTCGATGCCGAATATCAAAGATTTTTGGACAAGTTGAGGGAAATTCGCATAAATATTCCTTTCATTGAAGCACTTCAAAAGATGCCAAAGTGGGTGAAGTTCCTCAAGGACCTCGTGAAGAAAAATAAGAAATTGCAAGGGAACGAGATGATCCAACTCACGGAGCAAATTAGTGCAATTCTTACTCGGCCTCTTCCACAAAAACTCGGCGATCCAGGAGATGATGGCAGAAACGGGAATCGGACGGAGAAAGTTTACTTCATGGACTCAATTTTAACTCCTCCGAGAGAAAGTCATATGAGTTTGAGTCTTAATGGCGATGATAGTGCAAGGAAGATGTTGCCACCCAAAGACTCGAGCAAGTCACGAGAGAATGATGAGTCAAGCTATTGTGGTCGTAAGGAGAAAGTCAAAAGGAAATTGCAAAAAGGACAATTGGTGTTATTGTGCAAATCACGGCTGTGGTTATTCCCAAGGAAGCACAAATCAAAGTGGTCGGTACCATTTATTGTCCAAGAGATTCTTCCTCACGAAGTGGTCAAAATAAATGAGCAAGATTCAAACCGTACGTTCAACGTGAAGCGGAACCGGCTCAAACCATATTGGGAAGCGAGTGAAGATTGCCAAGTGACTTCGGTCACTTTTGCTTGAAATTAAAGAAGCAACGTCCGGCTGAAGACTTTAAACTTAGCGCTTCTCGGGAGACAACCCGAGCTTTATTGTTTTTCGTAGTTTTCTTTAATTTTTCGTTTCGTTTTTAATATCATAGGCATGCATTCTAATTAATTTATTTGAATTTTACTTTTCAGGGTCGAAAACATGATCGGGGATCCAGACGGCCATCCGCCCGCAAGAAAAAAAAAAAAAAAAAATAAAAAATAAATAAATAAAATTTTGGCATCAGTGCAGTTGGGACGGCCGTCCGAAAAACGGGCATAAACCCGGGACGACCGTCTCTAAACCAGTACGGGGTAGCAAAGTTCGGACGGCCGTCCAAAAAATAGGCCCTAAACCGGGACGGCCGTCCCAAAAACAGTACGGAGACTGCAACCCTCGGACGGCCGTCCGAGAAATAGGCTTAAAAGTGGGACGGCCGTCCCGTGACCAGTGGTGAGGCAGAATACTCGGACGGCCGTCCGAAAATAAGAGTGAAACGTGGGACGGTCGTCCGAGCCTGTTTTAGGACGTTTTAAATTCTGAAAATCAGATTTTCAAGAAATTCTTAACCCTTCTCTTCCCTTCTCTCTAACTCCCACACACAAATTTTCGAATTTTTGAATTTTTCTTCAAACAATTCTTCAATTCCACACACATAATTCACTCACAAACTCTCCACTTACTATTTTGTGTTGGTATTGACAGGGAGGCTAGAGAATCGAACCAACTTCTTCAAAATCTATTCTTTCAAGATACGCCCACAAGGTGTTCGACAAATTGCTCCAACCAAGTTTGGGGGTCGATTCTCGTCTAATTCCTACCGAATCCATTCCAAAAGTTCTCCCAAATATGTCGTCCAACAAAATAGGTCGCACGGATGAAGCTTCATCTTCCAAAAGCAAAGGAAAAAGCAAGAAAGGTGCCATCAAAACGACGATTCCTTTTCCCGAAAAGGAAGCCTTTAGTGTGGAAGGCGCCGCGGCTCTATTTACTAAACAAGGCAAAAAGACCGTCATCACGGAACGGGCCTTGACAATCACGTTGCCACACTTCGCCAATCTTAACCAAGAAATCATAAGACGAGGATGGCAAAGGTTGTGTGAACCGGAGTCAATTTACAACATCTCAATCGTGCGAGAGTTTTATGCGAACACGTTGGTACTCAAGCATCCACCAGACTTCACAAGTGTGGTATGAAAATTTTATGTTAGTTGGGAGACGAATGATATAAATCAATATTACGGGCTCCCGTATTTGGGTCAAAGTTGGCGAGAGATGAGCAACGAAGTCACC